TAACAGCATTGCACTAAAGAATGAGAAAACAGAACAGAATATAAAGGCCAAAAGCAGGCCAGAGTGTAAAGGAACCAATTCTGTAGATAATAATGCTGGCCTTCCAAGCAGAGAGAAATGCGGAAATGAGCATTTAATAAAAGTACTAGCTATCTTGTCAACTACTTGGGAGAAATTAAATTAGGTACCTGTCTTGAATTATACAACAACTTCCAGCATATGCTTTATGCCATTCATTCACCAAATATTTAACCACTAGCCATATGTCAAGAACTATGAGAAAACAGGATACAAGAGTGAGCAAAAACAGAGGAGCTGAGAGGCTGGTAGGAAGACAGGTAACAGGCCAAAAGGAGGACTGATGGAGATAATGTCAGTCTAATGTGCTTTACTCAAAGAGTACAACATGTACTTGTTTGATATAATGTAATTAAGAGAACCCTCTGTAATAGGAGACATTGTACAGACTCCAATACACATGATTCTCCATCTCCATCCTACATCTTGTACATAAGCTTGTGAAAAATATCTAGTGCTGTAAATATTTAGGCATTTATGTTAATCACATAAAGAAATTTAAAACTGTGAAAGTGGCAGTGTATAAGACACAAATGTTCACAATATTTGTTCTTCCAATCCATGAGCATGGAACGTTTTTCCATTTCTTTGTATCTTCCTCAATTTCTTTCATGAGTATTTTATAGTTTTCTGAGTACAGATCCTTTGTCTCTTTGGTTAGATTTATTCCTAGGTATCTTATGGTTTTGGGTGCGATTGTAAATGGGATTGACTCTTTAATTTCTCTTTCTTCTGTCTTGTTGTTGGTGTATAGGAATGCCACTGACTTCTGTGCATTGATTTTATATCCTGCCACTTTACTGAATTCCTGTATGAGTTCTAGCAGTTTTGGGGTGGAGTCTTTGGGGTTTTCCACATAAAGTATCATATCATCTGCAAAGAGTGAGAGTTTGACTTCTTCTTTGCCAATTTGGATGCCTTTTATTTCTTTTTGTTGTCTGATTGCTGTGGCTAGGACTTCCAATACTATGTTGAATAGCAGTGGTGATAGTGGGCATCCCTGCCACATTCCTGACCTTAGGGGGAAAGCTCTCAGTTTTTCCCCATTGAGAATGATATTCGCTGTAGGTTTTTCATAGATAGCTTTTATGATATTGAGGTATGTACCCTCTATGCCTATACTCTGAAGAGTTTTGATCAAGAAAAGATGCTGTACCTTGTCAAAAGCTTTTTCTGCATCTATTGAGAGGATCATATGATTCTTGTTCTTTCTTTTGTTAATGTATTGTATCACATTGATTGATTTGCGGATGTTGAACCAACCTTGCAGCCCAGGGATAAATCCCACTTGGTCGTGGTGAATAATCCTTTTAATGTACTGATGAATGGATAAAGAAGATGTGGTATATATATATACAATGGAATATTATGCAGCCATCAAAAGGAATGAGATCTTGCCATTTGCAACGACGTGGATGGAACTGGAGGGTATTATGTTGAGCGAAATAAGTCAAACAGAGAAAGACATGTATCATATGACCTCACTGATATGAGGAATTCTTAATCGCAGGAAACAAACTGAGGGTTGCTGGAGTGGGGGGTGGGGTGGGAGGGATGGGGTGACTGGGTGATAGACACTGGGGAGGGTATGTGCTCTGGTAAGCACTGTGAATTGTGCAAGACTATTGAATCTCAGATCTGTACCTCTGAAACAAATAATGCAATATATGTTAAGAAAAAAAAAAGAAGAAGAAGAAGAAGGTAGCAGGAGGGGAAGAATGAAGGGGGGGAAATCGGAGGGGTAGACGAACCATGAGAGACGATGGACTCTGAAAAACAAACTGAGGGTTCTAGAGGGGAGGGGGGTGGGAGGATGGGTTAGCCTGGTGATGGGTATTGAGGAGGGCACATTCTGCATGGAGCACTGGGTGTTATGCACAAACAATGAATTATGGAACACTACATCTAAAACTAATGATGTAATGTATGGGGATTAACATAAGAATAAAAAAAAATTTTAAAAAGACACAAATGTTGTGACAAATGCCACCGATACTCAGTGGCAATCTCCTCAAGAAATGAATATATTAATATGTTAAATATATAATAAAAGAGAATACAAGAATCAGAAGTGAAATAATTTAGTGTTTGCTTGACCTTGAGGTGAGGACAAACCTCCAGTTCTTAAAATCCCATATTAAAAGAAAACTACAGATTCGGTTACTCAGGCTAAAAATAAATCAGCTGTGTCACACAGAATAGGTCCAGATCGCACAGTGGCCTACAGCAGTCAACCATCATTTTCTGCAAAAAGCCAGATGGCAAATAATTTAGGATTTGCAGGTCGCATGGTCTCTGTGCAACTACTTAACTTGGCTATTATGGTAGCACAAAAGCAGCCACAAACAGTAACTAAATAACTAAATAACCATGGCAGTACTGAATACAAATTTATTCACAACAAAAGGCAGTGGGTTAGGTTTGGCCAATAGGTCACAGTTTGCCAACCCCTGGGTCTAGACCATGCAGTTGTCTTCAAAATGGAGTACACCTCAAACAGTATTTACAGAGCACAGAGTCCTTGGCTCAATTCAGAAAATGGAGGATATAACCTTCCATATACTGTTTCTGCTTTGTATACTCTTTAGCTTCCATAAAAGAATGTGGACCCCACTTCCAGCTCAATTATCTATCAAAAAGTAGGGCCATACTCACTTGGCAACATGGAAAAGCTGTATTAGAGGCTTTTGCCCAGATATACTACTTAGACTTCACCGCCTCAAAGCTAGATTGAGAGCTACAACATTCCAGGAAGATTTTTTTAAAGAACAAATGGTCCATCTACTTTCCTAGATAACCTGTATTCATGGGCCAAATCAGAGCTGCAGAGAAACAGGTCCCTAGATTGCCTCTTCCTTGCACTCAGCCACTTCCAGTAGAACTTTCTTTTTCTGCACTGCTCTTTGGTTTGAAGATAATCAGTTAATGCAGAAAGCCTTTATAAGAACTAGCCCTAAGATAAGTCTTGCTACTCCTACTGTAAGGGAATTCTGAGTTTTGCGATCATTATAGAATAGTGTATTTCTTTTGTCCCCAAGATGTTTGTATCTGATTTAGAACTAGGAATAGTCATAAATCATCTGGAAAACCCACGTATTTTGCCTCAAGGACTCTGTGAACTATACAAATGGAAATGGTCCAACCTAACAAATAATAATAGGTGGGAGAGAAACGGGCACTGAACACACTGAGTGGCATAAACAAATTTCTCTATCACCAAGAAAAGCCATTCTGGTGGCAACTTGGAAGTACCACAAGTCCCCCAAATACTCATATTCTTTGATCTAATAATTCCATGGTGAGAAATTATCCTAAGGATAAGTACACACATATCGACTGCAGTGTGACTTTTAAGAATAATAATTTTTTAAGACCTGGAAACAAAGGAAATGTTCCAAGACAAAAAAGTAAGTAGATCAATGATAAGAGATACCTACAGTAAATAAACATCATTTATGGAAGAACATTTGATGACATGAGAAAATCCTAATAATACAATTATACGTGTATCAAGAGTAGGAATTTAACCCAGTATGTACTGTGTAATCCCAAATACCACAAAATTAGGCTCATGAATGATTTTTTTGGCATTTATACAAACGTGCATTTTCCAAAATTCTATAATAAACCTAAGGTTTTTTAAATAAAAACTTACATTTTAAAAGTACATTCACTTTGATACTGGTCTCACAAGTATAAGTTTATCATAAGAAATTAAAAAGGCAAGTCAATATATTAGGCATGGTAGGTATAACATCAGAATATATAAAACTGAACTATTTATGATACATCCAAATTAGAAATTATAAATGAAAGAAAATTAGAAATCAGAAATAAAATTAGAAATTACACATTTGCAGTGATCAACCTGTTCTTCACGTATAGGAGAACTTTTTCTTCCAAATGGTCAAGTCCCTAACAGGCCCGAAACCAGAGAGGTTTAGTGCCTCAGGGTTATTGTGGGGAGGCTGTAGATAATGACACACTTGCCTGACAATGGAGGGTGTTTCCTAAAACAATGAAGAATAAACTGTTTGGGACCCACTCATCACTGTTGCTGTTTTACATGTTGGAGTTCTGAGTGGTTAATTTGGAAGACGAATGTATGTGTTACCTGCATCTATCTGCCCTTTTGGGATCCATTCTTGGCCCTTTTCTGACTGTGGCTGCCTCGGGAGACTGACCTCGTCAGACTCCTGCCTGTGTTTGGCCGATTGGAGGCATTCGCAGGAGGAGAGAAGGGGCTGAGTGTATATCACCCTTGTCCCCAAATGTAGTTTTTGGCAGTGGCTGCATCTTATAAACATGCCCTTCTTTGGGAGGGCGGTGGGGGAAGAATCTCTTTTCCTCTTTACCCATTAAGACCTTCTTTCGGGAGGAAGTTGCAACAACTTCCTGCTATTACCAGTCCCTGTGCACCTCGCCATCCCTGGGTAGTTCCACTAACTCTGTTCAAATTTCATTCATTAAACTTTAATTTCTTCAATTAAACTACTTAGGTATGTCATTTGATTCCTTTTGGGATCTTGTCTATTTTAGGAAAAGAAAAAAAAAAACCTTTCTAAGAAATTACTGCCTTGGAGGAAAGATTAACATCAGGTCCCCCAAATTCTATAAAACTGAAAAAATATAACCTGAACTTATCACGAAAATTGCACATTTAAGCTACAGCTTGAAAATATGGAAGAACAGACCAGTCATAAACTATCACTGTAACAAATAACAAGCATTTAAAAGTTAATGATTGTGGAATGAGATCTACTTAAATTTTACCTTGAAATTCAATGAAAGTCAAGACAATCTGTTATCAAAAGGCTTTCTTTTGAAAACTGATTTTTCTCAATACATTTTTCAAACAAAAATACAGACTTAATAATAACATGGAAAGGTATAGAAAAGTATTTTGCAGATCAGCAACTTACCTCTTTGAACTTGTGACTGAGCTTGCTTGTGTCCAGGTCTGATGGGGAAAACACGTCCTCATTTTCAGGCAGCTCAAAGACTTCAATGGCCATGTCACCGCCAGGAAGAACAGGTCCTACTTCATCCTCCTCTTCATCTGTGGCATATTCTCCTGTCTGAAAGGAAGGGAATTTCAGAGATCCAGCTATCCTTACCCCAGGTAGAAGTGGGTTAATTGAAAATATTTTATAAAAGAGAAATAAAATATGTCACCAAATGGTGAAGTGTGAGTAGGCTTTTAAGTCAAGCATGCCTCATGCAGCCAATGTTATAAACAAATGTTAGTTCAAAGATCCAAAGTGACATGTCTATGCCATATGTAAGTGCACTCCTAAAAATCTAATAGCATCAGCAGCATCTTTAGTATAGCAACAAAAGTTGTTTTCCATCTAAGTATGTGATGGTTTTGCGAAATAAACTTATATTGCTAAAGAAAATAAGTAATTTCTATAAATCCCCACCACTGTGTGAATAAGTCACCCAATACTGAGAGCAGGTAAGAAGGAAGGGGAGTTCAAAAGATTCACAGAGCTGGAAAGGACCTTAAGTAAGCCTTACGAAGGTTTAGCAGATGGATTCTCCTAAGCTTTAGAGTTCAATCAGCTTTGTTTTGTTTGCTAACTAATGTGTTGGTGACCTATAGGAAAACAGAGGTTTCTAACTTATAGCCCACAGAAGTGTATTGCTTTGCCTACATAGCATTTTGATAAATCTTAGTATTTTGTTGATGTTAAATAAAAAAATCACATGAGATTCTAGATTTCCAGTTTTTCTTGAGAAAGCCAAAGATCTGGCAATATGGGTATGTTGTGCCGTGAAGACAACTGGCTAGTCAGCAGTGGTTGCCCCTTTGGGATGGGTCCCACACCTTCAAATACACCAGAACTTTCGTAACTCCGTATTGTATGCTGTTAACTTCACTCCTTCCTGGTACCCACAGGCCCCTGTAGCTATGTGAGTACATGGTCCCTGGAATAAATGATCCTCCATACCACTAACTTCCTTAACATTATTAGAAAGTAGCTCCTCTCTTGTCAGGACCAAGCTAGGAGGCTCTAATTCAAAACAATTGTTTGGAATCTATACCTTATGATATAATTTAAAGATAAATCATGGATTCACAGGGTCGCAAAACCAAGTTCATTTAATGTGTCCTTGTTCTTTCAGGTAGCATTCTATATAATATATAAAACAGACAGGAAATCAGATTGCCTTTAAAAACACTTTCATAAAGTGTGTGGAATGATCTATTCCTTTGATTAAATAGGCTTAGTATCTGATTGCTGTTTTTTTTTTTTCCTTTGGTTCCATACTATATCCTTCTTACGAAAGCTGAAATCCTATTTCTTTTACTGTTTCGCACATGAAGGAAATCTGGTCATTAACCTCAGTGTAGTAACTCCTTATGTATGAAAGACCATTATTAAATTGCCGTCCTGATTTCTCCTTTCCAAGTAAAATAATTCTGGTTTCCTCTAGGTCTCATTCTCTGTCATTGTCTTTGTGCCTCTGCTCAGGCTTCTCTCGAAATTCTCCACACTTGTTTTAAATTATGGAGCCCAGAAGTAGGCACAACTTCCGGTGAGGAATCTGACCAGGATGGACAAACTGCCTCAGCATCCTGCAGACACTACTTCCTCACATGAAGGCTAGTGTCATGAGGACCTTGACTTCGGTGGCATTGCGTATAGAAGTAAGTTCAGTGTATCTCTGGGCTGAAATAGCTCCCTCAGTACTCGGAACTCCTGGACTCTTCAGAAACTAGTCTGAAGATGTGTAAGCTCTAAATACCATTCTGAGTGTCTCTGGCACTGGCAGGAGAAGGTAGCTGAGCAGTGGGGGCTGCTGATTCTAGGTAGCTCCCACTCGTTGGTATGATTAGATCCTATAGATCTTAGAAGAACCCTAATTCCAGATTTGGTATGACTTTTTGTGATATTCTGTAAATTAACTCATCTCCTATTTATATATATTTTTGGAACCAAGAGCTATTTTGTAAATCCCAGTGGTGTTAATTAATAGAAATGTAGTAAGGCTGGGAAGGACACAATCTTGATACCTTGATGAAAGTTTTGGTTTAGAGATATTAGACTGGGTGGGCTTGTTTTTAATCCTAATTACAACTAGCAGCAAAGCCACGCCTTAATTATAAAGGCCTAAACCAGATATATTAAACTCACTTCTACATCATCAATTTGATGAATTTCCTGAATGACTCCATAAAATCTTAAGCTAAATTTAAAGTCTGATGTCAATGTGGCACACTTTATACATAAAGTTGAAATGATCAACTTGATTTCCCTTTGCCAGCTTGAAAATACTTCTTCACTATGTGCAAGGGAATGAAGACAAACATGTACCTAGAACGGGGCCTGACATATAACAGGATTTCAACAAATACTTTTATTTTTTTTTTTTAAGATTTTATTTATTTATTTGAGACAGAGAGAATGAGAGACAGAGAGCATGAGAGGGAGGAGGGTCAGAGGGAGAAGCAGACTCCCTGCCGAGCAGGGAGCCTGATGCGGGACTCGATCCAGGGACTCCAGGATCATGACCTGAGCCGGAGGCAGTCGCTTAACCAACTGAGCCACCCAGGCGCCCTCAACAAATATTTTTAAAAGAATATATCCAAGAATGCCTATTGCACCTCCTTGGTAATATCTATAATCCCCTAAGGAGGTTTTCAATAATATATATTATTTATTTATTTATTTATTTTTATTTTTATTTTTTAAAGATTTTATTTATTTATTTATTTGAGAGAGAGAGAGAGAAACAGCATGAGAGGGGATAGGGTCAGAGGGAGAAGCAGGCTCCCTGCCGGGCAGGGAGCCCGATGTGGGACTCGATCCCAGGACTCCGGGATCATGACCTGAGCCGAAGGCAGTCGCTTAACCGACTGAGCCACCCAGGCGCCCAATAATATATATATTTTAAAAAGTGAATTGCAAAAGGCATTTGTTAAGAAGGCAGTATTCTGTCACTTTTATTTTTTAACACTTCTTACAGTGAATAACAGGATTAGGGTATATACAATATATGTACAATATATGTACTTCTTATTTCTAAGTATAGTTCTGGCTTTGTCATCCATTTTAGTTATCAAAATTACGTTCATAAATGTGAGTTATTAAGAATTCTTCCTCTTGATTCTTTTTTTTGCTTTATCAGTCTCCTCTCCTCAATATCCAAATTATCTGCAATTCTGCTGAAATTCTTTTTATCTTTCATCTTTCTACCTACTAATGTTTTCTCTTTCTAATTAGTCTTAGAAGCATACTAAGGTCAAGATAATGTTTTTTAGCGTCTTGATGCTACTTATCACTTAGAGGTTCTGGATAGGGTGTTTAAAAACTATCGTGCCAGCACGCCTGAGTGGTACAGTTGGTTAAGTGTCTGACTCTTGGTTTCAGCTCAGGTTGTGATCTCAACGTCTCAGGGTTGTGGGACTGGGCCTCGCATGGGGCTCTGCACTCAGCAGGGAGTCTACATGAGATTTTCTCTCCTTCCCCCTGCCCCTCCCCCACTGCGTGTGCACTCTCTCAAATAAATATTTAATAAAATAAAAACTATCATGCCAAGTGGAATTGAAAAAATGGAACAAATGAGCAAGGGAAAAAAAGAGAGAGGCAAACCAAGAAACTGACTCTTAACTACAGAGAACAAAGTGATGGTTACCAGAGGGGAGTTGGTTGGGGAATGAGGGAAATAGGGGATGGAGATTAAGAATTGCACTTGTTGTCAAGAGCACTGGGTGTTGTATGGAAGTGCTCAATCACTATATTGTACACCTGAACTAATACACTGTATGTTAACTAACTGGAGTTTAAATAAAAACTTAAAAAAAAAAAAAACCCTATCTTGCCAATCTCTCTTGCCGATCATTTACCACTCCCAACATAAATAGGCTTTATAATAAAGAATGTATTTACTACAGAACCTCATAAACATTTAGAAGTTAAAAAGTTACATTTAGTAGACTAAAAATAATGTGTTCTCTTGATTGTTCTATCTGTATTGAAAATAGACATCACTTTTATGGTTAATCTGAAAATAAATTACATGGAATGATAGGTTAGCAGAATTTCATAAACCTCAAAAGTAGTTGGATTGAATCTGACATTTACAGAGGAAGATGGACAATATTGCATCAAAAAAAAAAATATGCCACAACAAAGTATTTCCATTGGTATCTATCTCCTTCTCTTTATTTCTGGCCAGATTCAGTATCTTTCAAGTAAACAGAGACTCTTGAAAGTCTTTTGTCCCAACCTGAAAATCCATTTTAAAGGAAGCGAGAATAGTTCTTAGTGTAAGAATTGACAGAGATAGTAAAGGTTCCCTTTCACAGCTCATCTACCTTCTTGATTAACATCTTATACCTTTTTATTGCTTTCCCACGGGTGCAAAAAAATGAATAGCAATCCCTTTGTAACTTACTGTGTGCCCAATACTACATTCCTCAAAGACTGTATGATATAGGTATTACTATGCCATTGTAATTAGAGGAAACTGAGACTCAGAGACTTTACCTAACGTCAGACAATTAGTTATGTTGTTGAAGCTAACATATTCCAAAGTCCATGCTCTTTCTTTTATACTATGCTGCTTGCAGTCTACAGAAAGTAAAGCTTTATAGGATAAAAAATGGGAATACATTCCTATCGTATTTCCCTAGCCAAAAATGTTGGTGCATAATCCTATTGCGTTGAAATTCACCTTCCACATCTTTGAATGTTTTCAGTCAATTCACTCTGAAGACTTGCACCTGTCTCTAGTGAGCTGCAAAGTTTTCGTCCTCTCCTTTTCTCTCATAATGTGCTCACCCTGGGCAAGTGCACAGAAATCTCCTTCAAAAGATTTGGCTTATGGGCCTGCTGATGTTGCATGCCCTCTTTCTTATATAAACCAGAACCATAGCATACAATCTATAGAATTACTACAGGGTCTTAAAATGGATGGAAAAGATACTTGCAAAGCAAAATGAATGCAAAATTCCTTTAGATGTTTATGGTCTGTCTCTTTTACGTTTCCTTCTCATATGTAATTTTCTTGAGCTACGAATCTTTACTGACTCTTCCCAAAGCATTTCATCTCATTTTCATGGACACAA